GTGACGTCATTATGATTTTTATTAAGGTAAGTCAAGTGATTTAGCGTTGAGACTGATTTTAGTGAAGAGATCAGTTCTGTAAGCGTATACTAATCAAGCCTATTTTTGCATTATCGTGAGACATACAAAATATATTAAAAACGAATTTTACTGCACGGTTGGCGCGGTGGCTGTGCAACTGGCTGCCGCGGAACGTGTCGCGGTTTCGAATTCCGGAACAACTCTTTGTGTGATCCACAAATTGTTGTTCAAGGTCTGGGTGTCTTGTGTATGTGAAATTGTATTTTCTTATATTGTCGGTACATCTCACATGGAAGTCCCGTTGTGAATTTTCGTAAGTAAGTCGTTAAGTCTGGTAATAAGGCGCATAAGATTAAGAATCAAGAAGAAATAAAGAGAATATCTTCTACAAATAATTTTTAGTAACATTAGTCAGGCCAAGATTTTCTATAAAATCATTTATACCTATAGTTCACAAAAACGATTAAAATACTTTAACTTTTACTTGGTCAAAATTGAGTAATGATAATGGTTTTAAAAATCAAACAACTTTCTTATCCCTCCCAAGGAAAAGATACAATTGAAGAAAAATGCTCTACCTTAGACTAAAAGAAGAAGAAAAAGAAGTGTGGCAAAGCTATGCTTCGGCAAGAATGGGCCGGCTCGACCGGAGAGATACCACGGCGTCACAGAAAACCAGCGTGAAGCAAGTTACTGGAGGTCCCAACCCCAATTCTCTAATCCCCTGTTCCTAAATCCTTAATAACCAGCAAGAAGCTGGCAACGCACTTGTAGTAACTCCTTTCATGACCAATAGGTAATCTGTTATCCGTAAAAATAGACTTATCTCTTATAAGCAATTATTTTCAAAATAATGTTCAAAGAAATCATTTCCACACATACCTACCTGATATTTATACCCCACTTAACTATATCCCCTGCTTCTATTTTTTCCTCCGCCCACGTATAATACAATCACACGGACACAACAAAAGTAAGCATGTGTGCGTGAACCCATTTCATCAGCCAATGGTCAAGCGGTCAGCGATTGAGTGAAATAAAAGATCTACAATTGTATAGGCGCGAGTGAGATAGGGTGTTATAGGAGGGGAGCTTAACCCTTTGATTTTTATTTGGGGTCCGTTTTTGCACACGGTAGTAATAGGTAGTTTGTTAGTTATGGCGAATGGCCTACGGAATACTTTTTTTACCGTAGAATTTTGCATGAGGCCGTAATTGAATCTTTTGCCTAATTAAGACTTAATTTTATTTATCCCTACAATGGAAAAAGAAATGTATAAACACGTATGCGTTGGACTAATTCCGAAGGATCTGTAATAGAAAGCCCTGGACTGTGCCAGAAAGTCTCGGATATTATGGGAGATCGTGAGGAAAGCTCGCAACAAAGATCACCATGTCAAAGTGAGCACGACAGCTCTCCCAAGATCGACCGACAGCAAAAAAAAGATGCCATTAATGATCCCTCGAATTTTCCCAATTGATGGGATATGAATACAGGGCTCAACTAGAAATTATTTTCATTTTTTTCTATCTAATGATTGGACAAATCCATAAAACGTCCTTTGAAAGAGTTGAAGTACCTACACGCGTGAGTTCTACACGACTTTTAGTGAGCTCTATAACATCCCAGTTCACGCCATTTGGCATAATACAACCAGCGACAGGAGAACAAAAGTTATATCCAAGAGTAATTTAACTCAATGAACTTTATATAGTATCGCTATAGATATGTATATTTTTCAGTGGGCCGAGGGATTACCCACAGAATTACTATTGATTTGGGAGCGCACCCGCTCGGCCGCCTTCCAAATGAGCAGGCCGTAAGTATAACTCTAGAGCTGATAGTACCCGATGTATGAAATCCCCCTCTCTTTTGTTCTGGGGAGAAATTCAAACAAGTTTGCTTGTTTTATGTTCAAGAAATAGCAGTGAAAGATTTAGGTAACTATAGTGCTTTTTCAAGACTAAGTACATTGCACATAACATTGGTGTCACACAAACTTCAAGTGGTTCCTTTCATAAGAACGAAGTTAACTGTGTATGATTTTGGTTAGAAAATAGGTAATATTGTTTCATCAGCTCTCAACAAGTCCTCAGCAAAAGTTCGCAAGGCCCAACCTGAATTTATTAAGCTGGACCCTAGAAAGGTTTGCCGTATGCAGATAAGGGATTTATTTAGCGGAAAGGTCCGTCCCTGGGTTAACGCTAAAACGCCTTTTGGGTCGACGATGACCAGGATTGGGACCAAATTTATTGTCGGCTTTCGGCTTTCGCGTTGATTTATTCGGCCTCGGGTGAATGGAATCAACGGACCGGTTGATAATAACGCTTGCTGCGACGTTTTTGCGTAGGTACCGAACTGCCGACCATGTTTATGTGAAAATGTTTAATGCTGATAAATTGAGGGAAGGCGGCGGATTTTTGTAGGTGACGTGTTTTGTGGTTGGACCTTTATCTGCACCTAAAAATCGCTGGGTTAGTGAAATGGAATACCGAATACCGTATGATATGTGATTCAACCTAGGTAAAGGTAACCTAAGAAGTTCGGTAGGTCATCATCACCCCTATAAATGCCAACTTAAGACTCTTCTCACACGAAGAAATTTTGAGCTTTAATCACCACGCTTGCTCAAAGCAAAACTAACAATTCCAAACTTAATTACTAAATATAAATTTGAAATTCATTAGGATGTTCCTTCACCATGTCAATGCTGTCTAAATAAATTTAGAAAGTAAATATGAATTGGAAAGTCATATTGGTACTTGTCAGGTTTCGAATCCGCCCCTCATGCACAAGAAACTCGTGCCTTAACCTCCAACCCATCAAAAGATTTTATAAGCGATTATTGCCTAATGCCTAACTTTCAACAATATTCAATAACACAAATAAATTAGAATTATCATTAGGTAGGTACCCACTTACGAGACTTGAAAAAAGAACTTGACCTTTCAAAATTCAAAAAAAGAATTGCTTATTCAAAATGTTCAAGAAACTAAACATGGCTCACCTAGTTGTGCCTACAAAGTTTCTCACAACATATTGGTTCGCAAGGTTGTGGGGCCACGGACGTGCAATGCGAGTCGGCCGCGGGACGGTACCTAAATGGCGCCAATTACACGCCGGCCGGTACGTGATGCGACTCAAAATGGCGACACACAGGCGTTGGATGAGAGTAGATGTGGTGCTAGTTTGGATAATAATATCCTAGTTACTTGGACCAGCATAAAAGGAATAGTGTAATAATTTCATACTTTACATTTTTATTTGATATTTTAAAGGCAACTGATAAAATACTTAACCTATAAAATTAAAACAAGTTTCAATATTATATGCCGTACATTCCTTTCTTTATTGTAATCTGTCCATTTCCAATAAGATTTTTAAAACAACTAGTTGCATGTGCTTCGCTTTCATGTCGAGCGTGATTTTAGCGCTCCAAAGTCTAAACATTAAAATCCAATTGGAAAATCACAGCGATAGTAACGACATCTACCTTCTTTAAAGATAACAATCGATTTTTTAGTTTCGCTATTCTCTGATAGATGGCGTTTGTAAAAATAAACATTACGTATTGCTTTTAGATAGTTACCTTAGTAATAAATATACATTTTTTTTTATTTACTTATGTATAAGTCATATTTAATTTTGGACATAATTAATTACTTTAATGATTAAATATTTTATTTGAAAAATAAATTACATAATTAAGAAGTAACCTGAGGGAGCTTACTAACCTCAAAGAACTGTACCTATAAGAAAGTAATCAGTCGTATCCACGATAACATCACGTCAAAACAAACTCGGACGGTCCTAACCCAAAAGTTCGCCCTTTAAAGTACACATCGCTTGTTAAACAGAAAAGAGACCTAACTCAAAAGATAAAGTATTTCAATCTTAAAAATTATGCTTCAATAATAAGGTTCAATTTTGGAATATCCTCATTTTTGAGTTAGGCCTTTTTTCTATTTAACCCGCGACATGTAACAAACCAAAACACGTGCGTTTTACGACTAGGGACGCTCACTACGTCACTAAGGCAAAATCGTTCACGGGTTCACCATTTTTTCTTCCACCGTGAAATATTAAGACGACCCGTTGTTTGTTCGGGACATACGTATAGCCTATAGTCGGACAATGTAAGGAAAATGATGGATCGTGTCAATATTTTTCCGTTTACCCGACCATTATGTGATTTGTGGGTGTCGGATGCAGGTTATTCTATCGCTTGGTGTAGTATGGGCGGTTTTGTTATGTTGTTCAAATTATTTAGATTTTTAACACTGACCGCCATGCTCTCGTTAAATATACTATTTTTTTACATTTTCTGGTCGGCTATGCTTGTCGTTTTGCGTCTATAGCCAACCATAACGGCCAAAAGGTTAAAGCTCTACTAATTTGAAACCGCTATTAACTACTTTTTATTTTAATCGACGTCGCGCTGTCTAATTTTCGATGCATTTGTTGTGTTTTTCTTACACTTATGAGTAACTTGAGTAATAAATCTTCTTTTTCAGCATCAATCCACTAGCTATATTTTCCTCGTAATCAGAAACATGTTTACTAATTTGCGGGGTAAGCGCAATGAGGCACCGCGATCTCGGCCCAGAGCAGGTGAAGGAACAGGGGGGTTTTTTAGTCACTAATTCTGACACTCCCTCCCGCCCGGCCCTGGGCGGGAGAAGTCATTTGATGATTTTCCCCTAAAAAAAAAGAAAACATGTTTACTAATATCTAGCCCAGGGTATAACTAGACACTTTCTCGGGGTTGCTAGTGCTGATCAAGCGCAATAATTTTCCGCAACCCCGGCCTAGAACAGGAAAAGAAACTGGGGTGGTTTTAGTCAGTAAGGTTGTGAAACTCCGGGAGAAGACTTTCATATAAAAAAATAGAAATGTGTGTAATTCAGATTTCGTTATAGGTTGTCTTAGAAAAAAGTTTTAAAATACAGGGGCAAAAAATAGTAAAAAAAACACAAATTTCATCAAATAAATAATTTATTTACAAAGTATTCTGATAATACATACAATTTATCTAATTATATTTTGTATGGTTATTGTCAGTGTGATTTAATTTTGATACATTGAAATTTTAAACAGATAAAATACATTTTAATACATATTTATGTATTAGATTACAAATTGTGTGCAATTAGAAAAAACATATACCAAAAATGTGGTATTATCTGGCTGCAAAGGGCAGATGACACTAATCACAAGAAAAAAATATTCTTGGACATAAAGTGACAACCCTAATCTAATAAGGAATCGACTCGGATTTTTTACAAGCAAGTGTAACAATCGGAAATATCATATAATACATAGCTTTAAAAACTACTTTATTAGTTACAAATGGGATTTATAAATAAACATTATCATTATGGCCGGAATACGCTCTGTAAAATTAAATGAGGTAAATTTTTCTACAATATTTGTAATTGACTACTTAGGTATAAGTATTAACTACGATTTATGAGAATATGTTTATGTTACAGGAAATGTTTGAAACTGGATTTTTTAAACTATTACAAACGACGTTTCATTTATGAAGCCAAGATTTTTTTAGTAAATATAGGTGGCAGTTATAAATATTAAGTCAATAATTTATTTCTATTATTATTAGAATAAATTAGCGCTGTATGACGATCTAAAAACGAACTAAAATCTACGTAAAATCTCACTTGTACTAGCGCCGTCTAGTAAGTATTAGCAACACTAATAACATTAAGCGTGTGTTTAAAGTTTATCATCTAAAAGGATAGATGGCGCTTTAATAAAATTACAATTTGCTGTAAAAATACCATTGTGGTTTGGTATAAAAGATTTGTCTACATAGCTTATTTAATATAAATTACAATTAATTAGTGTGATCGCTTTAGTATCTAACTTCAATTTCATAATTATTTATAATAATGCAAACTCATTGATTCCCTAATGTCGTTTCGAAAGATTTTATATCATATTTACATAAATTCCTGCCTTTAACTTTAATTTAGACGTTTACAATTTATTACAATGTTTTCATATGTATTTTAAATATAATAATATCCATTAAGCATTCCATCGACAAACATTACAAATTCATGAACCAATACAATAAAAAAAAATATCGTCGAAAAAAATTATTTCATCATTATGTAAGTAAACAGTACATACGAATAATTTAGCACCTGTGATAAGTATTAATAAATAATTAAAAATATGAGAACATAATTGCACCTGTATTTATTTCATTGTATGTACTAAGTTTCAATAATCTTGGCAGACGCGGTCACCAACTACAATCTGACCCTGTAGAAGCAGAGTGATCGCCTGATGGTAAAAATGGTAACTGCAGTGAATAATGGTAATTGAAGTGTGGGAAAGCACGAACACCCTTGGCACGAATGAGTCGGCTCGACCGGAGTGATCGACGGCCTTACAGAAAACAAAACCACAGCGTTGGGTTTATGAGTGACTTTACTGGAGGCCCAATCATTTCGCTTACCCATACTTCCACAATTCAGGCATTTAAACTAATTAAAATATGCACTTAAAATGTACAAATATAAGATTTAATATCGAATAGGTAACGTTTTGTTTCGAGCAGATATTATTAATGCATCCCTCAATTCAGAAATTGGATCTCACAGCAAAACGGACATAATTAGTTAAAGCTTAAAATGTAATATTGCATAACGTTATATTTCGACTTTTAATTGTCTTTTGTATTTCTAAAAGGACGTTTATTTAATATTTCTCTCTTCATAAAGATCTCACGTCTACCAAGATCATTACTGCTTAGTTGAATAATAAGTTAATTATTATAATACATAAAATTAATCCTTAGTTACAATTTGCACTATAGTTTTTATTATCCGGTTACCTTTCTCATAATGTAACAGGTTCAAACTTGGGTCGTTGATTTTCTCTTCTAATAAATTTATTAATTCTACTCGTATCGTTTTTAGCATTTCTGCAACCTGAAAAAAATAGGAAAGCAGTTAATTATGGACTAAAAATATCAACAATTTTCAGTCTAGTGAAATATGAGCTTCATTAAGATAATGCAGAATTAAAATTCCTTCAATTACAAATCCCTCTAATATTCTGATATTGTTTTTTTGCCTGTTGTCTTGTGTTGCGCTAAATAAAGGCTTTGTCTATCTAGAAGATATTTATCGATCCAATACTAGAAATACGAAAGTTTGCAAGTATGGCTTGATGCATGATTGTTGCTGAATGGATCTGAATTAAAGTTAGCACAAAGATAGATTATAGTCTGAAATATCACATATACTACTTTTTACCCTGGCATTGAGCACGATAATACTGGCAGAAACGAGTTAGAAATTAAAAGAAAACATGGTACTATTCTTAATTCCCCGCTAAACGAACGTGTGCGGACAAAAGCCTGTAGATTAGTACTATAAACTCAGTTTTTTCAATAAGTCTGTCTGTTTTGTCAGTCATTATAGTGTATATATTTTAGTCTAATAAAAAAATCTTCCATAAAATCATTGAAATTTAACTTACTTCATGTTTTTCCACTTGGAACATGATCCAACCATCTTCCAAGGATACTATAAATGTACCGTTGTGTAGCTCCACAGACAAACTGCAGCCTGAAACATACAAACAAACTATAGCTTAGTGACTATTACACAGCCTTTATACCTATAAGTTATCGATAAAATTATGTGGCATATAGTTTATCTGATAAATAGTGGCTATTCAGACATTTTGAAAGCTGTTAATCTTATATTGATTTCGAAACCATTTTTACATTTACTGACGTTTAACACAATAGCGAATTGATAGTATATTTTATATTATTTGTAGTCAAAACAGTATTTTTTAATAAACGACATTATTTGAGAAATATATGATGATTGATTACAAGTATGAGGCTTTTGAGGAGGGAAAAGCCTTAAATGGATTCTCTTGCCCAGTTTTCAATTGTAATTTTTTTTATTTCGTACATAAACACAGTATAAATGATGTCATTTACTAGTTAGTTAGCTACGCGACGTCGTTACTACACTTACCTAATAAAAAATAGCTTGATCTCTGGGACAGCTGTCAGTAAAATCGCGCCTATGAAGTATCACCTCAAATTCATATCCGAATCACTTTGAGAATCGCTAGAGCAATCTTGTAAGTTTATTATGAACTCTTGTTTGCAAATATTATCAAATCGAACGGCGCACTCCCAAGCTTCTTCCATTAATAATTTTGAATTAAGAAAAAATATCGATAGTTTATGTCCGTGGTCACGATGATACATCACTCATCACTAATTAGGTCAGCATGCCCATAAAGTATGACACTGACAGGTACGTTTCTCCTCCTTTGGAATAAATGTATCTTAGATTAAAATAATCGTTTCATTTTAGTACCTTATTTATATTCCAATTATATACATATAATTTTAGCATCGATAAGTAAGAAACGTCGAAAATTACTATCGATATTTTTTTGTACTAGGACAACCCTAGGAATGTCAGTTTGACAAATGTCGCAGAGATAAAGCTATCTTTTATATGGTATATGCATTTCAATTTTTGCGTGGCTCGAAACTGGAACTCCTCGTCAAACAGTTGTATGAGTAAGAACAAAAAAAAATAATGTTCGAACAGTTTACTCACCAGAAAACAATACAAGTGGCAACTGTGGAACCATGGAACACTCTCTTATAAAAACCCTGCTTGTTTTCACCTTCTCTTGGTACACCAAATAAGGGCTGGTGAAATACCCGACACAGGAATTGACTGATGATGGGTGCAAAGCGACATAGCCGTCTGATTTCGTCTTGAACTTTAGCTCGTCTGGCGTTGGTTGACGGGGAATAGCCCCGCCTGCTTGCATGTGGAAGGACTTTTCTGGAGTTAAGACCTGGAGGGCAAGAGTGTCATTTATTTATTTGGATGTACACAGGCAAGTCTTTTTTAAATTTTTTTTTTTTAAATAGATTGGTAAAAATCGACAATATGAACACATCATAAAGTGTCTTTTAGTTATAGGATACAGTATAGTCATATTTTGTATGATTATATTAAATAACTAGCTACTCTCGCGCGGTTTCACCCGCTGCCTGCTCGGCTCCATTTAATCGTAGCGTGAATAGCACTCAGGAACATTGTAGCTATCTCTGAAAGATAGATCTATCAGTGAAAGAATTTTGGCAATCGGACACCGACGACCGAAACTTACAAACTTACAAATTTTACCTCTTTATAATATTAGTATAGATTACCTTGACCACATTCGGATACAAAGCTGCACATAAAATGGCTGCCAATAGTTTGTCGTTATTTCCATTCGTGTTAAGCTGAAAACATACAATTTATTATTTTACTTTCATTATTATAGAATAAACATTACAAAAAAACACACAACACTCCTTTTTCTTTTCCCTCAAACATATTTAGATGAGAAAAAATTAAACTGAAAAATGTAAAGAAACGTTTAACGTTTAAAAAAATCATTCACAAACATCCTTAACGAAGCAGTTACAAAAACACACCAATAGATGGCGTTAAAATTAAAATCAAATTACCTCATCTCCAGTTAAACTAGCGACGGAATCCTTCCTCATCTTTTTCCTTAAAGCTGGCATGTCGGGCACGAACCCTATAGATGCGAGCAACCCTAACAACTGGTGCTTAATGTCGGCCAGCATCATTAAAGTCTTGTGTGATAAAAAGTTCTCATTGGAGAACACTAGCGCCGCGTGTGTACTCGATTTCATTGCTTGTTGCCATTTCTATAAAAAACATTTTAAAAATGATTAGTTGATCAATAATCTTGAATAAGTTGATCAATGATCAAATACAGAACACACATTTTCTCAATGAAATTCCTTATCATTCTTTTTAACTCTTCGTATAGGTACTTCTAATTTGTCAAAGTAAAAATACATTCTATGGAATGGAATTAGTTTCTTTTCCTATAACTTACCCTATAAGCTCTTAATGTTGTGAGTTGATCACTTTGTGAGCAGGCAAAATCTCTTCGTTTCGCGTCAGCTTCCGACTGAAAAAGAAAAAGAATATAAACTTTCATGTTTTATAATTACCTATAATTTATTATTTATCAAGTGTGGGAGAGTCATGTTTCGGCACGAATGGGTCTGTTCAATCGGAGTGATACCACGGCCTCACCAAAAATCAGCGTGAAACAACCACAGCATTGTGTTTCACAGTGTGAGTAAGGTAACAGGCCCAATCTTACCTTTTTTGACTATTGAAACGACAAAGTTGGATTTTCAGTCAGTCTATCCTTCAGTAAAGCTGGTTATAAAATATTGATAAACCTAACGCCCAATAAGTAAACAACGTACTCTTTACTCCTCTGATGTTGCAAGTGTGCACTGTCCATGGGTCACACCAATTGCTTACCATCATATAATCCCTGTGTTTTTATGCCCAGACACAAAGCAAATGACTTCTTCATATTTCACTCACCTTTTTCCCAAACGGAGAAACGAAAGGGCTTTTATGACTTAAAAACGCGGCCATCGTAAGTGCAGAGTCCACACAACAGAATATAGCCCCGAACAACATTAGTTTGCCTATCCTGACGTCTACGGGCAATGCTGCTAGATGCTTGCCCAGTGCCGTCAGGGCATAAGCCTTGTCCAACGCCCCAACATCTTGTAGACGAGAGAGAGCGCCATCTATATTCGTTTTTGTTGGCGGTTCTACCGTTTTGCCTGGAAAGATAAAATAGCGTTTTAATTTTTTGTTAAGATATAATATGTGTCCGGTTTATGTGCAAACAAATTCAAGTTATTGTGGAATAGTATTGTAAAAACCTACTTTAAACCTCAAAACAATGAATCAAATTAAATTTTTATACACATTTTCTAATTACACATCATTAAAGACTTTCACTGCATTGAAATTGACTACACGGTTGACGCATTGGCTGGGCAACCGGCTGCCATGCACGTCGTACATTTGATTCCCACACGGAACAACTCTTTGTGTGATCCACAAATTATTATTTCGGAACATCATCACATCACAGGTGTATGTTTTACAGGGTGGGACAAAACAACAAAATCTGTCCAGCTATAGATACACCCTTTTTTTCGTAATAGTCAGACATTTAGCTCTCCTATCTTGCCTGGTGGCAAGCGATGCCTATGTGGATAGGCATGCTCTATCGTAGGTCGCATCGCTTTGCTTATGGAAGCAACCTATCGGACCTTGAAGGCACCCAAGTTGAGGAACATTCCACTCCTTAGCGGTTCTAATTATAAAACTGGAAGCGAACCGCTCCGTACGAGTGGGTGGGATATCCACCATGAAGCGATGATGTTTTGCCGACTGTCTATTAATACAATAGTGGAAAGAATTATTATTTTATTCAGAATTATTTTAAATGATCACTCACCCAAAACCTCGTGAACACTCATATCTTGGAACAGCGGTAGTATCTTGATCTTCAATATGAGCTGTTCTAGTGGTACCCTGTGTATCTCCGGGACAGGTTGCTCCAATATATGGTAGTTGTATCGATGTGACGTGAACAGATGTACACAGACTCCCGGCATCACGCGACCAGCTCGACCCTTGCGTTGCTTGGCGTTGGCGCGAGATACCCAGACTAGGTCTAATGATTCCATATTACGGTTAGAATCGAATCTAAAATAAGATAGGTAATTATGTTAATAAAAAGGGTCCAGAAATGGGGCTCCTGGAGCAAGAGACGGAACGGGAGGGTTTTTTGTAAGAGTCTGACTCTTACTCTAGAAGAGAGAAGAAATTTGAGGATTTCCCCTCTAAGAAAAAAGGGGTTTATTATCTTTTTAGGATTTCGTACGGGAAAACGGGTACTATAACCCCGCTGGTAGTCTGTTCGCCTGTCTGTCCATCTCTCTGCAGACTGTATTTTCTGGGTTAGTGATAGCTAGAGAGTTGAAATTTGAACACATGGTGTATTTTCAATTGCTGCTAAGTATAACAACAAATAAAAAACAAAACATAGTTAGGTTGCCATTAAAGAAAAGCGTTGTTTCTCCGAATGAGTGAAGTTATCGGAGGTCTAATCCAACCCCTCCTCCATCCTTCCTTAATCCTTAAATCTCCAAAATCCTAATCCCAAAAGGCCGCCAACAAACCCCTTTAGTGTTGCGGGTTTACATGGGCCGCGCCGATTGCCAGAAAATCTGTTTCACTTCGACTAATCGTATGAAAATAAATTACCTTTTCTCCTTCATCCTTCCACAATCGATGACAAACACACAGTCATCGATAGTGACAGAAGTCTCAGCGATGTTTGTGGAGAGTACAATCTTGCGCACACCGGGGCGTGGCTTCTTGAACACTTGCGCTTGTTCCTCGCTTGACAGGGTAGAGTGGAGTGGAACTATTATGTATTTGCCTGTCCTGTGAAAATAAGAAGGCTATTTTAATTTTGTATTTTGTATTGACTGAAAATGAGCTTCCTTCTTAAAGTTCTTTTAATTTTATGGCATAATATCTGATGTCTTAGATAATAAAAAAATTAAGAAAAACGTTGAAAGTTTGAGAATGTTAATATTACGAATTGGCAGAGTCGACTGCAGTGACGACCAGGACCTCATAGGCCATTACCAGCGTGAAACAACGCTTGCGCTTGCTTATTTATTTCGCGTAAAAAAGGACACGCACACAATGATTCTGACTTCCACACCAAAACAAAAAATACGTTGTGTTTCGCCGTGTGAGACCTACTTGTAGTAACTCCTTTAGTCTGCGAGAATCCATGGGTGGCGCCGATAAGACCATCAAGCCTGCGGCGTTTGCCAAGCTACAAAATAAAAAAAAACAATACTCACTTTGGACTAAACGTATGACTTTCACATAGTTGGTCATGTAGCGACATGATCTCAGCTATTCCGGGCAGGAACACGAGTATAGCGCCCTCTCGCGGCCACTTGTGGTCACCTTTCACAATATATGTCAGCACGTGTTCCACTAGCTCCGTGTTAATCTGACGAAGAAAAGGGTTTAAGATTAAAATCACACCTTAAAATATTGTGCTTAGAGTACATTTTTGAAATAATACATTTGTATGTACGATGTATGCTATCGACACGTTTATGACGTTCGGCATTCTGATTGGCCTGCTTCTTGTCAACCAACCAATTAGAGCGCATAAAAGTCTTACGTTTTCAGCACGTTAAATTAAAACATTCTCGCACTTGGCACTTAGAATTGATTGATAGAAAGTTAACAAGAATTTGTTTGCCGCGAAAATAGAAAGGTGACGACGAGCTGTAAGAGCGCTGTTGGTATCTCGTTACGTGGAATACAAATCTTGTAAAAACACGCACTTTTTATGAGATAGGGCGCGAACGAAAGCGCCGATGACCAATTTTGAAAAGGGAGGATCCTCCGACCAAGCGAGATGTTGGTGCCTGGCGGGCTACTGCCCAATGGTTGTTGTCGGGTTTATGTATAGGTTCTAATTGCGATGAGTACTCTTATGTAGAATCTGTTACGCCATCTGTTGGTTCTCCATCTATGTGATTTGTCACATTACTGCGTGTGTGCGATAGATGTCGCTACAAGCAATTACATCCGCAACAGAGGTGTTGTAAGTGCGTTATCAACCTTTTGAGGGATATAAATTTGAAAATTGCGAATAGGACGCTAGGATGGGTAAGATTAGAGCCAGGGTTACGCCGAAACTCAAAACAAGCGTTAACGCTCTCACGCTTAAAATTCGCACTAGGCACTCTGCTCCAAAAGTATCTACAATAAATACCACCGTCACAACCCATGTTCAAAGCAAAACCATACCTTTTCAGTGTCCATAAGGTACATATTCTTGCACGTAGTCTTACTACACTTGGAGTACCGGGCCACCATCTGTCCTATGTTGAGGTTTTCGTCTCGGATCGATATCTTTGGTGGCTCGTTCGCATCGGCACGTACATCACACGTTTCTAATTCAGTTTCTAAATCTTGTTTCTTGTCACCTGAAACATTGCAATGTGATATTTTAATCTATTTAATTATAATAGCTACTCTCGAGCCGTTTCACCCGCTGCTCGGCTCCATTTGATCGTAGCGTGATGTTAAATGCCTATAGGACTCAGAAACATTGTAGCTATCTATCAGTGAATGATTTTTGGCAATCCGAGCAGCGATTCCTAAGATTACCCCCTATATTGAAAGTTACAAATTTTACCTCTTTATAATATTATTTTTATATGAGTATTAGTATAGATATAAAAGAAAGTTACACTATTTATTTACTACTCGAGAACCGATTTTGACTAAAAATTCGTAGGAAGGTAGCTAAAAACTGGGAGAAGGACATAGGGTAGGGCAGGTAAGGTAGCGTAGGTAGGTAGAACAGATAATGTAGGTAGGTAATTAGGTTGGGAAGTGTAGGTAGTCAAACGACGGGAGCGAAGCTGCGGGTAAGAGCTAGTAACTATAAGCTATAAGTTAATAGCAGCCTCGGTTGCAAGTCCAGCTTAATAATGTAGACTGCACGGTTGGCGTGGTGGCTGGGTAACTGGCTGCCGTGCCACGTGTCGCGGGTTCGATTCCCGCACGGAACAACTCTTTGTGTGATCTACAAATTGTTTTTCCGTGTCTGGGTGTAATGTGTATGTGAAATTGTATGTTTGTAACCGCACCCATGACACAGGAGAAAATCCTATGTTATCACCTCCCCGCCCTGAAGCAGGAGAAGGAACGGGGCGTTTTTTATAGTCAGTAAGAGTCTGGCACTTTCTCTTCGCCCCACCAGGGCATAAGTTTGCCTCCTCCTCAAAAAAATAAAATATCTCTAAACGAATATTGACTCATAGCCTTATATAATAGTCTAAGCGACTGCGTCGTAGTCCAATGGCTGCAAACTTGATTGCAGAGCAAAAGGTCTCGACTTGTAATGCCTGGTCGGTCGCTAGGTTGGCTATTGGCGGAATAATCAGCTAGGCAATAAAATATTGCACTCACATTATAGAAATTTGAATCATTGCTATTAACAAAGTAATATCAAATTAAGTATTTAGCAAAAAGTCTTGTCTTACCTTTCTTAATTTTTCTAGCATAAGGACCATTTTCTTCTAGCACGTAATTCGTTATCTCCATTATATCTTCCAAGAACAACTGTTCTACCGGGTACGTTCGACCTAAAAAATAAAACGGCATGAAATATGACGTCATCCATTACGATACTACTCTTAAAATTCAAAATAACGATCGTCAACGTCCATACCATGTCGAAAACACCGGTTCTCGTCCGATCACCGAAGTTAAGCAACATCGGGCGCGGTTAGTACTTGGATGGGTGACCGCCTGGGAATACCGCGTGACGTTGACTTTTTGCCATTTTGCTTGTTTCCCGTTAATTTTATTACAATATTTACTAAAAAATATATTTTTTTCATACCTGGTATCTCAAGAACTGGAACCTTGTCGAAGTAGTCGGAAAACAAATCTGCATTCAACGTCGCACTCATAAGTATGACCCTTAGATCCTTCCTTACTTTGACCAAGTCCCTCAGTATCAGAAGGAGGAAGTCGCTCTCCTCAGACCTCTCGTGTACTTCATCTACCAGTATGTGAGTGACTGATTTCAACTGAGGATCGTACTCTAACCTCCGTAATAAAATACCGGTAGTGCAGAACGTTAGACGGGTTTTCGATGATACTTTGCTTTCTAATCTTATCTGGAATATAAAGAAAAATATTCTTAGAAGTAAACAAATTCAAATAAAGGTCCTTAAGTTATTGTCATTTAAATCGAGGGTAAGTTACCTATTACGGTAGTTTCCAACTAGTCAAATTCAATAATTTTATCCAAATGTCAAAAACGATACTTTTCTACGAAATTTATATGAAACTCCAAATTATGACATAATAGTACCTACCTACTCACTTATATCTTAAAAATTAGCTAAAACGATTAGCAGTGACAAATCGATGAGTAAAAGTACTTATAGTTAGATATAGATACATCGAATTAATTTATTTTTGACCTAGGAAACCACCCAATACGGTAGTTTCCAACTAGTCAAATTCAATACTTTTATCCAAATGTCAAAAACAATACTTTTCTATGAAATTTGTATCAAAAACTGAGTTATGACGTCATAGCATTTTTGCTTCAAATAGCTTACTTATTTCTTAATAATTAGCTAAAAAATATCTAAAATATCTATCGATCGATCGATGAATAAAAGTATAGTTATTTTTCAATATTTTATTGTATTGAAAAGTCAAATTAATTTACAAACAACCCAATTGCAAAACATTTTAAGTTTCGAAATTCAGATGCATATTTTTTTTTTAATCAGGAAATCAGAGCCGTGTTTATGGCAAAGGAGACTTAATGAACCATCAAAAAAAAAAGTATAAAATCTTACCTGATAACCAACAACCTGTCCAGTCTTCTCGACCCTTTCCTCAGCCACCCTATCAGCTACACCAATGGCTGATATCCTCCTGGGCTGCGTGCACACAATCTCAACGTGATCGGCGCCATCTTTGAAATTCTCCAACCAATTGTCCAAAATGAACTGTGGTACTTGTGTACTTTTACCGCAACCGGTCTCACCGCTAATTACTACGACCTGGGGAAATATAGAAAAGAGGTTATTTATATTATTCTCGTAGTACACACATCAGAAAAGCTCGACAGTACACAGTACACGAATAGACCGCCTTCTTTACATAAAAAGTGCATCGCAATCAAGTTTTTTTTTGTGAGTGGAAAATCATCAAATGACTTCTCTCGCCCAGGGCCGGGCGGGAGGGAGTGTCAGATTCTTACTGACTAAAAACCCCTCTGTTCCTTCTCCTGCTCTGGGCCGAGGTCGCAGTGCCTCATTGCGCCTACCCCGCAGCCCCGGCTGAATCGCAATCAAGTTGGGAGCTGAGCCCTTTTTTTATAAAATAGTTCGGAAAACAGCCGTCACTACAGTCACACGACAATCACCTGCCAATAAACTCTGACGAAAGTTTGATAATCACAATTCGATACGTCAATTTAAGCTTTCGTGATCGCTATCTTCATATAAACGACTCAAGGTTACGTTACTGAGGTTACGAATTCTATACGAAATTTACACTCGGTTTCTGAAAGGCTTGTCAACGCTAAATTTAACTAATCTCCTGTTAAATCTTTTGTCAAGTCATCTGATTGGTTGTTGATAAGATAATTCAGTCACACCCGGTTTCTGAAAGGCTTGTCAACGCTAAAATTAACTAATCTCCTGTTAAATCTTTTGTCAAGTCATCTGATTGGTTGTTGATAATTCAGTCACACCCGGTTTCTGAAAGGCTTGTCAACGCTAAAATTAACTAATCTCCTGTTAAATCTTTTGTCAAGTCATCTGATTGGTTGTTGATAAGATAATTCAGTCACACCCGGTTTCTGAAAGGCTTGTCAACGCTAAAATTAACTAATCTCCTGTTAAATCTTTTGTCAAGTCATCTGATTGGTTGTTGATAATTCAGTCACACCCGGTTTCTGAAAGGCTTGTCAACGCTAATATTAACTAATCTCCTGTTAAATCTTTTGTCAAGTCATCTGATTGGTTGTTGATAATTCAGTCACAACCGGTTTCTGAAAGGCTTGTCAACGCTAAAATTAACTAATCTCCTGTTAAATCTCTTGTCAAGTCATCTGATTGGTTGTTGATAATTCATTCAACCAATCAGATGACTTGACAAGAGATTAAATTGATTTTAACATTGATCGGCCTTGCGGAAACCGGGGTTTACGTGACTAAAGTTCGTGCTCACGAACTTAGTTCAAATTACGCACACCAGAGACGCTACTCATGTTTTCATACAAAATGCTCATGTTAGCGATACGAATAATATTCGCAAGATTTTCATACTAGGAGTACTGATGGTAAGCAATTGGTGCCGCTGTGAACCGGCCTTGCGTAGATTGATAGGGATTCGAGGATTGTGGACAGAGTATGAAGTAAGTATTGAACCTGTAATATTACTACCACGGCGACACACAACGCAAAAATCATTACAAGCCTGTATTCCAACACCAACAACAGTTTAATAAGAATATTTTCATTGATTTGTATGCATATAGAACCCAAATACATACACACAAATAGTTACAATGCTTCTTACGCATGCCACTGATTATAAGTTAAATACAAATATCAAAGCAAAATGAGGAAAACCTAACATTATTTGCAGTAAGATTAATTAATCATGATATTAACATAATCTATTATTCTCATAGTATTTGGTTTACATCACAACATACACTATAACAACATCAATTGTTTATTTGTCATCAGATTTGTTTTTGTAAATAGATGTGCTGAGATTTATCTTTACGATATGACACTTATCTATTTAATAGTTACTATGTATTTAAGATAGATCTATGATATTAACATATTTTCTATTAAAGTTTCCCCGTTATACCATTTGACTTCATACAACTTTTTCTGAGCTTTATAAAATGATTCAGCAACGATTGCCAAATGGTGAAGAAAACCATAGTTACGAAACCTAGGCATATAAAGTCTAATTGCTTAGTATCTCAGTTAAAACTTTAAAAATATTTTTTTTTACTTTTTACTTACTAAAAAACAGTATAAAATACTTAAAACAATCAATAAATGAGGATGAAATTAATTGATGAATCGGTATATTCAATTATCAATCGAAAATCCCAATACACTAATTTTATTTGTCCTAGTGTTTGCGACTTCACTCTGCCATTGAACTAGTTTAACTGCTACAAAAGCAGAAGAATATTTATCCAAGACATAATCATTAGTAAACCAAATTTTAAAATTCGAATACTAATACGTAACATAATGTAAATACTACTAACCTGTGATTTCTTAACAGTGTTCAAAATTTCATTTCTCTTCTGCCAAGCTGGTAGTTTCCTTCTGCCAGACATCATTCTCTTATACTTGTCATTATCTTCTTTTTCCATCCATCTCTTAGCTATCTCCCTGTTCTCTTTGTAAATCTCCTCCATATTAACATTAGATCTATTATCTCTACTCTCACCTTTTTTATAATGCAATGGTAACTTCTTTTTACTTAAACTATTATTTTCTATGAGTTGAGGGAATAAGGCGTCCGATGTGTCCGGAAAAGTTCTAGTATCAAATTGTATAAAATTCATAATATCCTCCTCATTATTAAGGAGTTCCACCAATGAGTATATACTTGGTATACCATCTTGTGCTAGATTCTTGGCTTCATCCAAAAGTCTTAAAGTTACTTTTAAGAAAGTAAGCTCTGGTATAACATTAGTCTTGTTTTCCGTTTTGAAAAATATTAATGGTGGTTGGTACGGGTATACAGTGTCTTCGGGAAACCTTATTTCTAATTCGTAAGTAATTTTGGTGTTCTCTTTAGATTCTATAGGCTCTGAAGATTTCTCTTCTTTAGATTCATGTAGGAACTTACATTTCGCACCAAATCTACAAGGACCTCGGAGAAATAGTTTACACACTTCTTTCTGTTTAGCTTTGACACCACTTGTGTAATTTATATTTTTCTTCTTAGGTACCTCTACGTCTTTCGCTTCGTACATTTTCGTCAGATAGTCGAGGTTTAGTTTGACAATCCATACATTATGGTCTTTTGTTTGAAAACTCGTGTCATATATAGATTCAAGCACGGCTTTTTCATCGTTTTTCATTTCTAACAACTCTGCAGGAGTGGGTACGTTCTCCGGTTTATCTTGGAAATCAATTTTAAAATACTTTAGGAATAATATTTCTAATGCTTTTTCTATATTTTCTGCTGCTACTTCTAGAGCTTCTGCGCAGTGTGCTTTGTGGAAATTGTACCTGAAGAATACAAAAAACCAAATGTGTATATATCAGGTTAAAAAATTTATACAAATTTTGTATTCATGAATTTTCAACTAAAATGTTACAAGCATAGTTTTATAATTAAAGTCATATTTAAAATCTTGTGTATAAATATTATGTATATTATACTCAACAAGACTATTAACAGTTACATAGTACACTTAAAATGCCACATTTTTTTTTAACATTTACCTTTTACATTATCTTATCAATATGTCAAACCACAAACATAAACATACCTCTCCAATTTAGCAAGTGCAAATGCCCGGAGCCTCGCTTCTGAAGTCTGTATATCAGGCTTTACAGTTAACGAGTAATCACACCCTCCTTGAACTATCAGGTTTCCTCTCTCCATCCAGTAACGGTTACCCAAATTTGAACCTTTGTCCTGAAATAACCGTTTTTTTTTTAAATATTAACTTTACTTATTTTTTCAGAAAATTAAGCCATTAAAAATCATTCTGGTGTGTCACCTATACATAGAAATGTGAAACTGGAAGTATCCATGATATTTTTAGTAACTATACTCTAATTTGCAAAAGGTAAATAAATAAATCATAGTTTCCATGACATATTTTTCCATATTTAAATGTCGAATATTGTATCATTGGAACAATTAAATTTTAAAGTTCATAAAAAACCATTCACATTTCAAGCATTATCCAAGATGCAATAGAAAAATAATAGGGTGTTGTTATAGTTTGATGAATTAATGGTTTATAGTTTTGAAGTTCCCTAAGGATACTCAGTGACGATTCTCTTTGTTGATATTTTAAAGAATTTAATATATAACGTGGACAATGTGACTATCAAACCACATCAAGAAAAATATTGCACAACTTTATGACAACAATTGTTACCTATTTGCAATGTGAATAGTGATTAAGGATCAATGTGCAGCACTTTGTTTCATTTTTATTTAAACTATTTTTTTTCCATGTTCACTAAGTACTTACTTTATAAAGGCTGGCACTTCCAAGTTTAAAATCAGGCCCATGGATAAATCTCAATGTGTCCAACACAAGCTTCTGTGAATCTGAATTTAAACGGATTGTCTGCATTTCCACTTTGAGGTTAGGATGAGGATCCTCCTCCGGCTCAATTTTAGCCTTCCTGTAAAAAATATACATTGTTTTATAGGAGGAACAACTTAAAACCAATGAAAAATGTAAGAGGCTCTAATTACCGTATTCGAGCATCCACAGGTTCCCGCAGGAACAAATCCTGAGCGAGTTGTCTACTTTCATGGTCCATTTTTCATAAAAAAATTAAATAATTGATATAAAACTGAAAAAATGTTGACAAAAACGCACAATTTACAAGACGTGTGCAGGCAAATCGCGATGTCTTATGTCAAATATACGTTTAGTTTCATAAAGTGCGTTTCGAAACTTCATAGCTGTCAAATGGTAAGCATTAAAATAAATGTAGTGTATTGGGAAATATTTCTCCTCTATAAAAACAATTTATATTTATTATTTAATTGCAGCAGGCATTCGTTTTACTTTTCATACTGTGAGACTTTTTGTGACTCGTAAGAGTTGCCTCATTAAGTTGCAAATGTGTGGAACAAACGACTAACAAAACGTTATTAATCCACGAAGGTGTTTGAAAATATGTCGGCTTAAACAAAAAAAGAGTACTTAGCTATTGAACTTTTAATTAAACTATACTTTTTTACCTATATTTTTTATACAAATGTACAGCTTGGTATCTCAATTTCCGAGATTCTTACCTTATTTTGACTAAGTGATGGACTATAATATTAAGCAGACTTACATTAAACTTATCTTATTTGTTTACAAAGTTTAGTCCAAGAATCCAATTTTATTTCTATCTATACCATAATTCTCCCCATCTTATTATTCTGGAAATAACATATTAGCAAAGTAAATAGGTAATCTAGCTGCTGGAATAAAACACGTGTTGCTGACACATCACAATGCATAAATCCTATTTACCAATAAATCAATAGAATGGTTTGGTTTCTTTAATTGGATTTCCTTTAAAATTTGTGTTGTTTACTACATTTGTTTGGATAAACACCTAGATATGGCTCTGTTACTTGTTTGCTCATAGCTTGGAGTCACTACGTAGGTACGTGATTTGTTATTGTAATATGAATTAAAATCCAGTTTATCTAATTAAATCTAAGTCTTATGTAACGCCGTACATCATATCAAAAAGTCTTTTCGTTTCCGTTGGTAGCTACTATTTTGGCTATTCTTGCCCGACGTCTTTTGATGGTCTGGTGTAGGTACCTAGAGGAGGTCCAAAGTCAAGCCTGGACTGTTACGGAGTTTCATGTTTGTTAATCTTGCTGTAGGTACCGTGTTTGTTGGTAGATACGCATAATATAAAAAATTGGCTTTCTATAAAAATTTGAAAAGCACATAATACCTAATTCTAAACTTACGGTAGGTAGGTACCTAATATTATACTTTTTCATGAAATACATAGGTATATTCGCGTTTTACGTAATACCGTGTAATACTTAAATTGTGTTGCAAGCTTCTTCACTAAGTATTTTCAATCTAATTACTTCACAGCGGCATGCCGCCGAGTGCTAACAAGGTTTTCGAACGATCACGACACACTATAAGAATATTCAGCGATAAAAAGGTGATAAATACGACTTTTTCAATAATTTACAAATTCATTGAAAGGTTTTAGGTACATAGAAAGAGATAGATGAGACCAAAGCGCGCAATGTAACCAAAATAGTGAATAACTACTTACCCATTAAAAATGGAGTTGTGTGCCAGTGTTAATGGAACGATAGAAATCAATTTATATATTTTTATATTGCTAACTAGATTGCTAATCAATTTCTGGTTTTCGGCGCATTTTGTGAGTTAACATGTCCCTATACTAATTGGCAGTTCCTTGAGATAGTTTACTAGATATGTTCAGGTGACGATAATTAGGAAAATTTGGTACTCACCACTAAACAAGGCCAGTTTACAGGGATAGGGAAGATTTGCTACATGTGCCTAGCAACTGCTATGTTTTAGATCTCAGTTCGGTCTATTAAAATGAACCTACATATAGTGTTGTAAAGTGGTGGCCCAGAAGATAAGGTTATAAGTATATATTTTCGAAAATTATCTAAACACCACATAAGGTGAAGAAAAATATAGTGAGGAAATCTTTTCTTTTTTTTTTACGTTGCCCCACACTGGGAGTTTCTCCTGTGTCGTTGTAAGAGTGGTTTCGTGCGGGAATCGAAACCGCGACATGTTGCGCGGCAGTCAGACGCCCCGCCATCACACCAGCTGTGCTTTCAATTAAGTATGTAAGTACCTATATTATAATTTTTATGGGTATACAGGCCGTCCTAACTAGTTAGGAATATTGTAGGAAAGTAACCTAGTTTAATTTTTAACCTTTGTTAACGAGGTTATTGAAACTAAATAATCAATACTCATGAACTAAACTATTTATGTTAAATATCAACCCATCTTCCTTATGTATTTTAGATGCTTCTCAGGGAGTTAAAGAGTTAACACAACTTAGTTACGTAATCGTTCAATTCAAACTATTAATTATATACTTAGCCTTATTCCTAGTTAGGTACAAGATTTTCCTCCTCTTTTCCTTTCGATGTGTACCATCATCATCATCATCATCATCATCATCAGCCTATAAGCGCCCACTGCTGAGCGAAGGCCTTTTCTCATACGGAGGAGGTTAAAACATTGATCACCACTCTTGCTCAATGCGGGTTGGCGATTTCAAACTTGTAATTAGAAATTATAAGTCCAGGTTTCCTCACGATGTTTACCTTCACCGTTTGATGTGTATAATCATCGTTAATTTTAAGTTAGTAATACAATATGGTACCTACTGTATACGTCGACATGGTGTACCTAAGTAGTACTCACTGAAAATCAGTGCTGGGCGACTTGTATGCCTAGCTTACACTGAGTGGGTAACCCATTTAGCATGGGCATGTTGTAGCGTCTATTTTCTGTTTCATCTGTTTTAATCTTTAACTCATGTTTGTCTTACTTCTACTGTCACACTTTTATTGTCTTCTTATATGCTGCATCGTGCCTGGTGCTGAATAAATGTATTTTCTTTCTTTCTTCTTTCTTTCTACTCAGTTATAGATTAAGTTTAAGAAGGTTTTTGTTGTCAGGAGAAAATCATTATATGATTTCTTCGAGGGAGAGAGTGTCAGACTCTTACTTACTTAAAACCCTTCTTGTCTTGTTTTGGGCCGAGGCCGCGGTGCCTCCTCAGAATACAGATGTTCTGTATTTTGAGGGTGCCTCATTGCGCTTGCCCCGCAACCTCAGCTGAACATCAGCCCTATAGGGCCCCGTCTGTGATGGTCTACTGTGTACTTATTAGGATTAATAAGTATACTACAGGGGAGCAGAACATTTTGACTAATTACAATGATAACCATTAATGCTACATGTTAATGTAACACCTACTCGAATTTTGTGGCTTCCACTTCTTTTTTCGTTCGTCCTCTTTACGTTTTGACGTCATTGTCTGTCATCAGTACACGCAAGGAGAAATCGGGAAGTTTCAATCTAACTTCCTGCGACATAGTTTTATAAGGTTTTCTTAAAAAAATATAATGATTATTCATTTAGTGATGGACCTTTGAAATAAAGACTGTTCCAGCATTTCATCAGAAACGCGAAGATCATTGATGCCTCATTTCTCTGAACACATTGAGATGGGATCTGCAAGGCAGGGCGCACCTACTGCAGGGTGTCCGAAAAATTATATTTTCAAACAAATTAGTTCTTAGTCCACAAAATTACTTATTACAGTCCCCTACGATAGTACCTACCGTAGGGGTCCATTAGCGATGTGGCTCATTGAGGAAGATTTTTTCGTCTTACTTAAAAAACGTACAATAGGGTACAAAATCGAAAACTACAACAATGTCGTTTTACAATTGTCGCACTTGCATGACAGTGTGGCCAACAAACCAAACTAGCAGGCATATTGTGCCAAATAAGGTAAATATCAAAAATTTCCCCAACCTGCCTTTTAACATTCACTACAGTGGCTTTTAGATCCATAATTGCAAAACGGTATCTACCTACAAATAAATAATAATATTAAATATACAAACAGGATAATCTGCACTAATGTGGAGCTTTTTTCATTGGATTTTTGACTTTATATCAAAACAATAAAATCGATGCTCGATTAAAGGAATTTGATGGAATTTACCTGGTAGATAGACCTGCTGGTTTCTACATATACGTGTATGATAAGTGCAACAAGAGAACTGATTAAGAAGACGACTTGAATACTAATATATCGAATGGTCGGTAACGTTAGCATTGATGGCGAATGGTGAGGTCATGGGGAGATACGTGAGAAATCTCAGACGGATGCAAATAGGTACCTACCACGATTCTACAACCGATCGAATGTCGATCGTTAAATGAGTTGCTGTTTTAAAAACTAAGAAATTTATATCTGTACTTCTATAGGTACTAATACTAGCTGACCCGTTTTAGGTTATTAAAAAATAAGGGTTGATCGTAGAAGGGTGAAAATTGAGGATTGTATGTATTTTTGTACGTTGTATAATAAAACAATAAGAATTAAAAAAATTGACTATAAAATGAAAAAAAAATTTGGCGTGGACTACCCCTAACATTTATGGAGATGAAAAATAGATGTTAGCCGATTCTCAAAGATACCGGATAAGCATAAAAAAATTTCATCAAATCGGTCAAGCCGTTTCGGAGGAGTATGGCAACGAAAACTGTGATACGAGAATTTTATATTGTAGATTATAAATGCGAAAGTAACTCTGTCTGTCTGTCTGTCTTTTCTTCACGCCTAAACTAATGAAACGATTTCTGTGAAATTAATACACACATAGTTTGGAACTCGAGAAGGAACATAAGACAGATTTTATTTACAAAAATCTGCAGGAAATCGCCATTCCAAGCTAGTTCAAAATAACATTTTAAACAATGTACTCGTATAAATACACTAGACACAAAATTAAATGATCTGTTGAGCCATCTTCATATGTGTAGGTACGTTTTCGATAAACTTACAAGGCTTTTTATTTTATACAAACTACGTTCCTAATTTATTTATTTTTATTTTAAAACTTTATGTACCTATATTCTTAATTCGTAATGCCTTAAGGCATTATCTACCAGAGAATTATTTCTTATCTGAAAAATAACTATTAGAACATTCTAAAACCGGTCATTAAAGTTCATCGAGATCTTACAAAGGCGCGATATTCGAGCCAGTTCAGCTGCCAGATGTCTACATCTAGAAAGTCACCTAAAAAGAACGCACTTTAAATATCCTAATATTTAAGGTGATGCTCACAGAACAGTATTCCGTGGTGATGCTCCAC